CCCTGAAACGCAGCGGCGGAGGCCGCGTGCCCGGGGCTGCTCCTGCCAGGAATGGCCGCGAGTTTCATTCGCCGCCTCGCGCGGATGGAAGACCGCACCCCGAACGTCCTGGACAGTGGCGACGGCGGCCGCGTGCCCGAGATGGCCTTTGCAATTCACGGCGGTGGTGCACTCTATCTCCAGCGTTGAACGCTGCGGGGAAAGGAGGTGGGGGGCGTCGCGGGGGGCGCCGCGCGGGCGACCGTTGCGCCGCGGCCCGACCCCGCGCCCGCGGAAAATCAGACGCCGAAGGCAGGCGAAACTCACGCAGCGTCTTACGCGCCGCTGCCGATGGCAGCGAAGGCGACGACAATGATGATGACGGCGCCGATGGTAAGCAAGATGATATTCTGAGAATGGCGATGACGCGAGGAGAAGGGCTGCGCTGGTTGTGGGCGGATAGCAATCCGCTGGCCCCCTCGCGGGGCCACCGGGCTGCAGGCCGAAGCTTCGCAGTTTCCCGTGCCAGTTGCAGCTTCCAGCTTCCACTGTTGCACTTCTGCTTCTTGCTGCTTACTGTTCCGCGTTGACTTCTTGCTGCCCACTGTTCCTCGTTGATGGGGCGCGCGAGGAGGGGGGGGGGCGAGCGGGCGCGTTTGCCGCGCCCTGAGCGCGCGCTCGGAATCGCTAGGGCGCGTCAAAATTGACACCCCCCGCGCGGGTCGGCGAGGCCAGGTTCCAAAAAACAAACTGGACTGTGCCACATTCATTGAAATTCGGCGGCACCCCTCGCGCAGATCGGCGGGGCCAGGGCCCAAAACAATAAAGGGTTTGCCACATTTCTCCAATTCGGCGGCGCCCCTCGCGCAGATCGGCAGGGCCAGGGCTCGAAAACAAAAAGGATTTGCCACATTTCTAAAATCCAGCGGCGCCCCTCGCGCAGATCGGCGGGGTCAGGGTGCGCAAACAATGGATTTGCAGCACTTCGGAAATTCGGTGGCACCCCTCGCGCAGATCCGTAGGGCCAGGGCCCAAAAACAAGGGATTTGCACAATTTCTGAGATTCGGTGGCGCCCGTGACGCAGATTTGCAGCGCCAGGGTCGAAACACTTTGATTCGCGGGTCGAGGGCGCGCCTCTCCCGATCGAAGCTAAGCGGGCCGCGCGAAGCTTGAATCAATCAGAGATGGGGGGGGAGAAGGAGGGCGCAGCCTCAGGACGAGGCCGGGGGGAGGCAAAGCCTCGGAATCAGCAGGGTCGAAAAAAACAAACGGGCCACGGCGCAGCTTCACGGCGGCGCCCAGACCTCGCGATTTAGCTTTTCGCATCCCCCATTGTCCGAGACAGGGGGTTGGCGACGCGGGGCGAAGCCCTTGCGGATGTGATGAATAATCCCGAAGGGTGTTCGAATAAACTCTGGGCAGTCATGAAAACCGAAGCGGCGTCTCTGCCGCCTCTGGCGGATGGCGCCCGCGCTCCAAGCGCCCCGGGCCGCGGCGGCGGCAGCTGCGCGCCCGGCGTGGGAATAGCCATCGACGGCGGCCGTGCGTGGCCGCCCCCTGCGGACGAGCGCCCAAACGCCGAGCGCCCCGCGCCGCGCCGGCGGCGGCGGCGCGCTGGGGGTGGCTCTCGCAAGGAACGGCGGCGTTGCTCTCGCCCCACTGCGGGCGACAAGCCTCGCCCCAACGGGGCCCGAAACGCAGCGGCGGCGGCTGCGCGCCCGGGGTGGTTCCGGCCGGAAGCGGCGGCGGTGCATGGCCGCCTCCGACGGATGAAGATCCGCGCCCGAGTGCCCTGGCCCGCGGCAGCGGCGGCTGCGTGCCCGGAGGGGCCTGGCGGCGGCCGCGGCGGTGCTTTTGCGCTTCTGCTGACGTATGCCCCCGCCCTTGATCGCGGCGGCGGCGCTTGCGCGCGCGGGCTGGCCCTCGCCCGGAACGGCGGCGGCGTCTACGTCGCCCCCTGCGGGTGATAGCTTTTGCCCCGAGCGACCTGGCGCGCGGCGGCGGCGGCTGCGCGCCCGAGATGGCCCCCGCCGGGAATAGCGGCGGTGCGTCGCCGCCACCTTGCGATGAAAACCCTGCCGCGCGGCAGCGGCGGCGGCGTGCCCGGCGCGGTTCTTGCCAGGAATGGCGCCGGAGTTGTCGGCGGCTCCCGCGGATGGAAACCTGCGCCCCGAATGCCCTGAAACGCGGCGGCGGCGGCCGTGCGCGGGCCGGTCCTCGCCAGGACTGGTGGCGGTGATATTGTCGCCACCTGCGGATGAGAGCCCTCGCCCCGAATGCCCTGAGCCGTGGCGACGGCGGCCGCGTGCCCAGGATGGCCTCCGTCGGGCGCGGCGACGGTGCACGGCCGCCATTGCCGAATGAAAACCGCCACCCGGGCGCCCTGAGACGCGGCGGCGGCGGCCGCGCGCCTGGGCCCCGGCGATGAGCAACCGCGCCCCAAGTGTCCTCACGCGCGCGGCGGCGGCGGCGGCGCGCCCAGGATGGCTGTTGCTAGGAGCGGTGGCGGCGCGTAGCCGCCCCCCGCATATATTTTTTCTACAGAAGAAGCAACTGGGCCCCGAGCGCCCTGAAACACGGCGACGGCGGTCGCGTGCTCGGGGTGGTTCTCGCCGGGAATGGCGGCGGCGTTGCGGCGGCCTCCTGTGGGCGAGCGATGCCGCCCCACGTGGCCTGAACCACGTCTATGGCGGCTGTGTGTCCAGGGTGGTCCATGCCAGGACTGGCGGCAGTGCGTGGCGGCCTCCTGCGGATGACAACCTACGCCGCGAGCGCCCTGTACCGAAGCAGCGGCTGGAGCGTGCGCAGGGTGGTTCGTGCCAGGATTGGTGGTGGTAAGTTGCCTCCTACTGCGGACGAGAGCCCTGGCCCCGAACGTCCTGGACCACGGCGGCAGCGGCTGCGTGCCCAGGATGGTCGTTGCCCCGACTCGTCGCGGTGTACAGCGGCATGCTGCGGATGAAAAACCACGCCTTCACTGTCATGTGCCACAACGACGGCGGTTGTGTCCAGAGTGGTTCTTGCCAGGAATGGTGGCGGCGTCGTTGCCGCCCCCTGCGGACGAAAGCCCTCGCCCCGAATGTCCTGAACCACAGCGACGGCGGCGGTGTGCCCAGGATGGTTCTGGCCCACATTGGTGGCGGCGCGTAGCCGCCTCTAGCGGAGAGAAATCCTCGCCCCGAGCGTCCTGAACCACACGAGCGGCGGCCGTGTGCCCAGGACGCGTCTTGCCGGGAATGGCGGTGCTGTTTTTTGCCGCCACTTGTGGGAAAAAACGCTCGCCCCGAACAGCCTGAATCACACGGGCGGCGGCTGTGTCCCCAGGGTGGTTGTTGCCAAAAATAGTGGTGGCGCTGCTGCCGCCCCATGCGGATGAAAACTCGCATTCCGGGTGTCCTGACCGCAGCAACGGCGGCTGTGTGCGGCGGTTCTTCCCAAGGGTGACAGCGGTGTGTTTGCCGCCTCTGTCGGGTGAAAACCCTTGCCCCGACCGTCCCGAACCACGGGAACGGCGGCTGTGTGCCCGGGAAAGTTCTTGCTAGGAATGGTTGCGGTACTTTGGTCGCCTCCTGAGGATGAAAAACCAGCGTCCTGAACCACAGCGGCGGCGGCTGCGTGCCCAGGGTGGTTCCTACCTGGAATGGTGGGGATGTTGTGTGCCTCCTCCTGCTGAAAAAAAAAAAAAAAAAAAAACACCTCGAGCGTCCTGAACCACAGCAGCGTCTGGTGTGTGCCCAGGGTGGTTTCTGCCAGGTGTGGTGGCGGTGCGTTGTTGTCTCCGGCGGGTGGGGAACCTCGCCCCGAGCGTCCTGAACCACAGCAGTGGCGGCAGTGTGCCCAGGATGGCTCTTGCCAAGGGTGGCGGTGGTATTGTTGTTTTTGTTGCGGCCCCGTGCGCATGACACCCGCAGCCCGAGTCAGCCATGGCGCTTGCGTGCTCAGGGATTGTTTCTGCCAGGAATGGTGTTGGTGGTGTTTTTGCCGCCGCATGCGGATGACAACCCTCCCCGTGAGCGCCCTGAGCCACAGCGGCGGCGGCTGTGTGCCCAGGATGGCTATTGCCAGGAATGGTCTTGATGTATAGCCGCATCCTGCGGACAAAATACCACACCTCGGGCGTCCTGAATCGCAGAAGTGGCGGTTGCGCGCAGGATGGCCCTTGCACCCTTGCCCTTCTGCGGATGAAAACCCTCGCCCCGAGCGTCCTGAACCACAGCAGCGGCGGCGGTGTGCCCAGGATGGTCCTTGCCAGGGATGGTGGTAGTGGCCCCGAGCGTCCTGAACTACAGCTACAGCAGCTGCGTGCCCAGAATAGCCGCCCCCTGCGAATGACAACCCTCGCCCCGAACGTCCTGAACCACAGCAATGGCGACTGTCTGCCCAGGATGGTTCTTGCAAGGACTGGTGGTGGTGCGTGTTGCTGCCTGCTGCGGATGAAAGCCCTCGCCCCGAGTATCCTGAACCACTGCAGCGGCGGCCGTGTGCCCAGGATGGCTCTTGCCAGGAGTGGTGGTCGTGTACAGCCGCCTCCTGCGGATGAGATCCCTCGCCCCGAGCGTCCCAGTGGCGGCAGTGTGCCCGGAATGGTTCTTGTCAGGAGTGACTCTCATCTCGCCCCTGCGGGCAAACAAGAACAACAGCGGCATTCCCGCCGTGGGCATCGTCAACATCGTCGTCCTCATCCTTCCCACCCTCCTCCTCCTCCACTTGCTCCTTCTCTTCCGTCTTCTACTGCGCCACTCCCTCTCTCCTTCTCCCCATCCTCCACCTCTTCCGTCCTGCTCCTCTTCTGTGCGTTTCTGCCGCATGAACCACACCTCCCCTTCTTCCTCAATCCTCCCTCCCTCTTCCGCTTCTGCTCCTGCTCCTCCTTTCCTGCCCCCTCCTCTCGCTCCTCTCCGTTTCTCGTCCTACCTCCCGTTCCCCCTCGCACATCCCTCTCGTCCGTCCTCCTCACGTCCCTTCTCCCAAAAGAGCGGGCGACTGCCCGAACACCCCTCCAATTTGGGCCAGCGCCTGCCTGACGCCGGCCACCGCGTCCACCTGATGGCCCCCAACATCGACCGAGGCCAGGACTGGGACCCCTCCTTCTCCTGCACCTCGCCGCTCCCGTCAGTATCTCCTCTTGCCCCCCGACCGTTGCACAATGTGAGCGCCACCCTCCCTACGCCCCCCCCCCCATCGTGTCCAGTGCTGCCGCCGCCTCTCGCACACCGCTGCTTATTCAGGATATCATGAGCTGGCGCTTCTCGTGCATACATACAAATATGTGTAAATGATCGCCCCCCGGCACTCCCCACTTCACTATCGCGTCCCGCTCGCCGATCCACACATGTCCACCCTCTGCCGTACCAGACTTCATCGTAATCCTCCTTTTCTCGTATCTCTTCTCTCCTCTCTCCGATATGTAGCCATCGTCGCAAAGTTGCACTAATATCTGAATTCGTTGCTGCAGTAGGGCTCGTGAGGAAATCTGTCACAGGATATGAAATAAGAGCTATATTAGGAGCTGTGGTACCAAATGTTTGGGTTGAGTTCGGCTGTGGTCGGGTCCGTACTAATAGCTGCAGCGATAGCTGTAGCAAGCGCAAAATTACAACCTGTGACAAGAGCAGTTGTAGGACCTGCGGAATGAGCTGCGAGAGAGTTGCACGACTGCTTGTGCTCGGATGTGGAGTACGGCCTCTTCTAAGACATGCAGTAGAGGCAGTCGTAAACACTGCGCTGAGAGTTCTACGATCCACTCAAATAAGATCGGCAATTCAAACTGTACTCAATGCTGCGCCTGGGAATAGCCGTAGGAGATGCAGTGAGATATGTGGTACGCACTGCAGTCGAACCTCTAATGGTAACTGCATTGCTGGCTACGCGAAGACCTACTTTAGAGAATGGAGGCGCATTGCGAGCTTTATTTGGGTATGTGTTGCTCCTTGCTGTATGACTTGCAGCCAGAGAAATACTAGGCACACTGTGAAACACCGTGCTACTGGCTGTAGTCGGAATGGAAAAATAGCTGCGCTACGTTGTTTCCATTTCCGTCGTTGTATCTGGAAGCCCGAAGAGGCCATATTGTGCGACGACGAACGCATGCTAGGATGTACGGCCCGCCAAGGACTTCCCAGACCATTTACAGTCTACCCCAGCAATGCGCAGGAGCGAGGTGGACTGGCCAATAATGGTAGGCCAATCGCTGCTGCGTGCACGCCTGGCTCTACAAACAAAGACTATACGAAACGTTTCTTGGACTAGCGACTGGCGTGCAGGCCCCGCAAACCTCCGCCTTGGTGGAAATGACGCCAAAGAAGAAAACTTACCAATACCGAAAAAAAAGCGGAACCCGCCAGAGTCTTGGTCCCAACACGATATGTGCCAACCACGGCCAACAAAAAGACCTTGTTTGCATCCGTCGAAACTGTTCTGGAATTGCACGGGAATATCCTCGGTCTTGGATGGCATTCGTCGCAATGAAGTCGGCGGCGAGACCCTCCCTGAACTTGTGTCGGAACTAAAGACCGCCGCGTTGGGCCATGCGACGGTGGAACTCATTCCGAAACTCCCAAAAACGTGTCCGCAATATGAAGACCTACGCCCTGTAATACGGCAAATGGATCTGGAACGTGCCGCTGATCCAACCGACCAAAATTGATGTGTCACCCCAGCAATCCGCTAGAATGCACCATCTGGTAGGCTTTCTCCAGACGATGCGTACATCGATGTGCACGCGTCTGCGTTTCCTCTTCTCCTCGGAAGCCAAAGCGGATGTTTGCGCACGTTTAGCCCATTCTTCTCTGAGGAGGTCGCCGATGGGACCCTCTTTAGCTGGTAACATAATCTGCGGCAGGAACTGCCACAACACATGCAGTGGGAACTGTACTCCTAGTGGCTGTAAATACAGATGTTGCCAGACTTGTAAAACAAGAGGCGTTGCGGGAATTGCAGTCGGAACTGTAGTGGGAGGTGTAGAAGGAGCAAATGTGCGGGAACTGTACTGCTGGCTGTCGTAGGCTATACTACTACGACCGGTTAGCGAATCTATGATAGTAGGGGCAATTGTGCGAACTTTAGTGGGGTGAGCTGTAGTGGGGGCTGTCTTATTCGTTCCGCCAAGAAGCTCTAGCAGGACCTGCAATAACTGTTTTTGATCTGCAGGGCGAGAGCGAACCTCTTCCGCTGAAAGCTACGCTCGAGCCTGCAGTGACACATGCAGTATATTTTGTCGTAGGAGCGATCGTGATAGCTGTGCCACTGAGACAGTACACAGCCAGGCGATTAGCAAGAACGATCAATCCACATAAACATACTGAGAGATCTGAAGCCCCCTGGAAGCTTCGCCACGAATGGGGCGGGTAACCATGCGGATTCTGCCACTGGGCAACGAAACGTGTGACGGGTGCGCCGGCATGAAGCGGGTAACTAGGCGGACTCTGCCACTAGGACACAACGCGTGTGAGGGGTGCGACGCTATGGGGCGGGTAACCATGCGAACTCTATCACTAGGGCCTTCGGCGGAGCTCCCTATGGGGCCGCGCCGACATGGGGCGTGCCACTAGACACGCAAAAAGGTTAGGAGATGCCGCGGGAGACGCATTGGGAACTGTGCTTGGATCTGTACTACTGGTTGGAGTTGGGATGTGAATGAGAGCAGACTAGGAACTGCGTGGACAGAGCTGTAGTGGAGGGCGCGGTGGACGCTGTGCTTCGACCCGTACTACTGATTGTAATTGTGGGTAAGGCCTCTCGGGACTGTACGTGAAACTGCACAACTGGTTGCAATGGAAATTGCAGCACAAGCTGCGCTGGGATACGCAATAGGATGTGCCGCATAAACTGCAGTCGGAGCTACAAAAGGAGTTACAGAGAGAGAGAGAGATGTACTATGGATTGAGATGTACTATGGATTGGCTGGAATAGCAACTGTTGCAGGTGCTGTGGTAATGTCTGTAGCAGGAGGTGCTGCAGGAGTGGTTGCAATAATATATGCACTGGGAGCTGTTGGAACAACTGTCGTGAGACCTACAGCGGGAACTGTCGCAGAAGCTGTAGCAGGAATTGCAGTCCGCCTTGTATTGGGATCTGTAATAGAGCTGAAATATAAGCTGCTCCTCTTCCTCCTCGCCCTCCTCCTCCGATCCTCCCTCTACGGACAGCGTGCCAAACGGGAGAACCTGTGAACACACACATACGCCAAATATGTTTCAGGGTTGTGGTACGGAGGCCTGGTGAAAACGCAGATGATCCAACCATGGTACAAAACATTGGGAAAGAACTCATGTGAGAACAATCCTATCCTATATCTGTTTCAGTATTTTCGGATGACAACCGGGGGGACGCCACAAATATTCCATACACGTGTGAAAGTGCGGGTAAGAGAACCTGGCGAACACACACACACACACACACTCACATCAGAACGTGTTCTGGGGACGGGCGCCACTCGTCCTTCTGCTGATTCACCTCCTCCGCGCCCCCTCCCCCCCCAAGGGACGCTGCGCCAAGCATGATACCCTAGGAACACATATTAATATATACGTATATCTATATATATATATATAAATACACAAATGCATGTACACACAAACATCGAACACGTGCCAAACATTGTTCAACGACTTGGTTCGAAAACTTGGAGAATACACAATTATTACACAAATCGTTCAAAACTATGGCACGGACACCATGCGAAAACACCGTTACCCCAGACAGTTTCAAGGTCTTGGTAAGGACACCATGTGAACATGTACGTTGTCCCATATATCCGAAGGTGTTCGGGTGACGGGCGCCACTCTTCCTCCTGCTCCTTCGCCTCCTCCACGCCCCACCCACGGACGCTGCGCAAGGCATGACACCCTGTGAAACCACACAATTGTCCCATATCTGTTTCTAGGCGATGGTAATGACACCAACCGAACACACAGTTACCCGATACACAAACATAGACATGCACTTATACAGATATGCACATATGTGATTCAAACTTTTGGCAATGCTTCCCAGCGAAACAACATACATTCCCCAGCAGGCGCTGGCCGCAAGCAAGTTGGGGGAGAAGGAGGAGTTGCGCCTGCCTCGAGAATGCCTTAAACTATATGGGGGTAACTGTGTTTTCACAAGGCTTCGCTGCCAACGCCTACAAGTATATATCGGATACCTCTGATGTCACACTTTCGTTGCGAACGTCTTGATATGCATATATATATATACATAGAAACTGTGGGCAACCTGTGTTGTCACATGGTTTCCTGCCTGGCACAGCGTCCCCGTGGGAGGCGTAACGGAGGCGAAGGAGCAAGAGCATGGATGGCGCCCGTCCCAAGACAACCACACAATACCTGGCAGAACTCTCTTGCCATTTTGATTGCGTACCATAGCCTTGAAACTATCGTGGATACCTGTCTTCACACGGTTTGGTTACCAACGTCTTGGACACTATATGATATGAGTGTGTGTGTGTGTTCACAATTTCCTTAAGACAACAACCCCATGTAAGACATTACACAAACGGAATTCCTGCGCCACGCCGCAACACAAATATTCATTCTGCACGAACGCCTAAAACAAATCCGTTGGCAAGGCCGCTCCTGCAAGAAGACGAGGAGGAGACGGAGAAAGAGGAGGATGAGAAGGAGGGGGAGAAGGAGAATGCAGGAGGACGAGGAGAAGTAGCAGAACGAAAGCAGAAGACGTACGAGCGCGCGAGGAGACGACAAATCCGCCGGCCCCGTTGTGGGGCCACCAGGCTGTAGGCACGTGATTCGCAGTTTCCTGTACCAGTCGTAGGTTGTAGTTTCCAGTGTTACAGTTCTGCTTCTTGCTGGTTACTGTAACTAGTTGACTTCTTGCTGGTTACTGTAACTAGTTGATTGACCGCGCGAGGGGGGGGAGGCCCAAACAAGATTTTTAGCCTCACCTGGGCGCGTTGTCTGAATTGCTGGGGGGGCTCGAAAGGGATCCGCGGGGTCAGGGTCTCCACACCCCTCACGCAGATCCGCGGGGTCAGGGTCCAAAAACACAAGGGATTTGCCACATTTCTGAAATTCGGTGCCACCCCTCACGCAGATCCGCGGGGTCAGGGTCCAAAAACACAGGGATTTGCCACATTTCTGAAATTCGGTGCCACCCCTCACGCAGATCCGCGGGGTCAGGGTCCAAAAACACAAGGGATTTGCCACATTTCTGAAATTCGGTGCCACCCCTCACGCAGATCCGCGGGGTCAGGGTCCAAAAACACAGGGGATTTGCCACATTTCTGAAATTCGGTGCCACCCCTCACGCAGATCCGCGGGGTCAGGGTCCAAAAACACAGGGATTTGCCACATTTCTGAAATTCGGTGCCACCCCTCACGCAGATCCGCGGGGTCAGGGTCCAAAAACACAGGGGATTTGCCACATTTCTGAAATTCGGTGCCACCCCTCACGCAGATCCGCGGGGTCAGGGTCCAAAAACACAGGGGATTTGCCACATTTCTGAAATTGCTCACGCAGATTTCTGAAATTCGGTGCCACCCCTCACGCAGATCCGCGGGGTCAGGGTCCAAAAACAAAGGGGATTTGCCACATTTCTGAAATTCGGTGCCACCCTTCACGCACATCCATCGCAAGGCGTGGTAACCCAAACTGCGAGAACTCCCTCGGCCCTTTAATCGCAAGGTGTGGTAACCAAGCCCGTAAACCATACACGTCTTACCAATCGCCAGGTGTGGTAACCCCTCTTGTGATCAGTTGGTTTTGCTGATTGCGAATCGGCTTCGCATGAAGTTTCGATACTGCTTCACAACAGCGCCAAGGCCTCATGACTTAGCTCTTCCATGGCCCATTCTCCGAGAGAGGGGGCCGGCGGCAGGGGGCGAAGCCCTTACGGTATGAAAGTGTCGTTGGTCAGGTGCTGTGGAGGGGTGCGGGTGCTGGGGAGGGGGGGCGCTACCACATAGATTTGATCATACATAGATGTACATACATGTCTATGTACATATGTGTACATATATGTGTATATACTCATACATGTAATCAACATGTTCCGATCGGAACGGTCTCGGTCCTTCAGCCCTGGTGCTCTCACCCCGGCCATGAACCCACTTCAAGATCGGCGCTCTCGTCGACCAGAATGGCGCTCTCGCCCCTGCGAGGACCACATGTATGAATCCGTGTCCTTCCTCATCGCTGCCGCCCTCCTCCTTTCCCCTCCCTCCTCCACGAGTGTACAGAACTCACCCCCGCTGTGTGCGCATCACACGGCGAGGTCATTTTAGGGACCAAGATCTAAGATCATCTAACCTCAGTCGGCAGATATAACAACATTCAGCGCGATGGGAAGGGAGGCGTGGGATGGGTAGGATGCCAGGTATGGCCCATAAGGCGCGAGCGCACCTTGGCTTGCCTCCTCCCCCTCTCCCCTCATCCTTCACTCCCTCTCCGCGTCATCTCACTCTCCCCTCCTCCTCCTCCTCCTGGGCCCCTTCTCTCCTCCTCCCTCTCCCCCCCTTCCTCCCCTCCTCTCACCCTCGCCTCCCCTCTCCCCCTCATCCCACCTCCCCTTCTGCCCTTCCCTCTCAGCTCCCCCCCTTGACGGTAATGTCTGGCAGCCGCGCCCACCTCCTTCGGCTGATCCAGCAACTCCACCGCCAGGCCACGGTGCCATATCAGTGGGTTCGCTGCGCCCAATAATCCGCCCCCTCTGGTATGCAAAGGAGTGGTGTAATGACAGATGCCTCCAAGGAGCCCCCCCACCTCCTCCAACTCTCCCCCTCCTTCTCCCGTTCCTCCTCCTCCTCCTCCTCGTCTCCTCCCTCCCCTCCTCCTCCCCCTCCCCTCCTCTCCTCTCTCTCCTCTCCTCCTCCTCCTCCTCCTCTCCTCCTCCTCCTCCTCCCTCTCCTCCCTCCCTCCCCCTCGCCCTCCTCCACCTCCTCCTCCTCCTGCTCCTCCGCTCCTCCCTCGTCCTGCCCTCCTCCGTCCTGCTACGTCTTCCTCCCTGCTCATCCTCGTCATCGTCCTCGGGGGTCTCCCTCGGGAGGCGATTTGGCGAGTTTGCGAGGGTGTCTAGAGCGGGAGCTTCAGATTTGGACACGCCCAGGTCGACTTCTGCGAGGACGTCTCGAACGAAAGCCCAAGACTGGGACACGCCCAGTCACCCGGCGCGCGCTGGCAGATCCCAGGAAATGGTTCCTGGGGTCGCGGCGGGGCCTGACTTTCTCACGCGCCGCGGGCCGACTTTGAGAGGATGTCTCGAGCGAGAGCCCCAGATTGGGATACACCCGGTGCGCCGTGGCGCGCCCCTGCGTTCGTCTGAGGGCCTCCTTGGGGAAACTCGGGGGGCCGTTGTTTCAGGATGTCCGACTCGAAGGCGAATTCGTCGCCGGATTTCTCCGATTTTCAGACAACGAAAAACAAAGGGGCCTCGATCTGAGAGCCTCCTTGGGGAAGTTCGGGGAGCAGGCTTTCTGAAGATGTCCCACGCGACGGCGCCAATCTGGAATGCGTCGCCGGATTTTCCGGATTTCCCGGAAACGGAACAAGGGGGCCGCTGAGGCCCTCCTTTGGGAGGCTGGTGGGGGGGGGGCGGTTTTCTGAACACGTCCAAACGCCGCGAAGGCGCCGCCGATGTGGAATTCGTCGCAGGACTTTCCCGATGTCCCGGAAACGGAACATGGGAACAGAGGGGGCGGTTGGCAGGCACATTCCTTCGCGCGCTCGGGGGTGAGGATAACGTGAGTTCTCAAGACAAACTCCTTCAAAACAAATGCATCAATTACATGCGTCTTGAGTCAATTCATGCATGTCTGAACTGTTATCCCAAGACGCCGAACCATGCCCCCGGATCCCCCTACGGCTCTCCGCGCGCGGCCATACTATTGTCTCAAAGCGGCGCGTGTACAGCCAGACGGCCGCAAACGCCCCAAGAAGACCCAGGACCAAACAAAGGCGTCCCAAAAATGCCGCTCAGACAGCCCCGATATCCTCCAAACCTGTCGATCGATTACCTCAAACGGCCACAAAGTCCTCCATGATGAACCGCGGGCAAGTCACGGCAAAGGCCCAAGCGAGCTCCCAAACAGCCTTCTAGCTAGCTCCTGGGAGGCCCCACACCTCCAGCGTTACACGATGTAGCCATCTTGGCCACGCGGTACGACCCTTTCCGCTGGGGTACCGCTCCAACGTTTTACTGCCTTCCCGAATCTGCGGGGATGACACATAAATTTAGGTCATCTGGAGCATCACGTTACATGTTACGGCTTTCTGGGTCTGGTCGGTTCTTGTAAGATAACCGTAAAACATCGCGCGCTGACGGAATTGCGGAAATTGCCGACAAGCATTCAGACAACAACAAGCACGGTACATTGTTGCAGAAGGACGCTGCCGAAGCCATCGCCGAGTAAACCATGACGACCGTCAGCCACGCCATCGCAAAGCAGATGTAGAACATGAATATAGAAGGAAACAGAAACACAAATACCGAGAGCAGAATCCGCCGCCCTACCTCCTGGAAAGTTATGCGTGTTCGAATGCCGAGGGCTGCCTGGCGACGATTCTTGCCTTTCCAAAGCACCCACCCCATCGCCACGCTCAAATGCATGCATCCCCCCCTCTCGAGGCCACAATCCTTACGAAGAAACAAGTAGTCCGCGCTCTGGTGACAACGATCCCTCTCACAAAAACGATGGGCCCGCGCTCCCGAACAGCCAAAGCATCCGAGTCCAGCGACTAAGGCCGCCAACCTGGCCCACGATGCCGCCAATATGGCCACAGATGGCCCCGGGAGGGCTCACAAGGATCACGACAAGATCTCGAACAAAGTCCGAAGAAACCAAAGTTATCGGTGTCTAGTGGGGACGTCGCAACATGACCAAACCTGGGTGGCTGCCGTTTGTGTTCCGACCAAACGTTTGGAAGGGAAATCGCCTAATCTGACGGCTGGAACCACTGGTGGCAGCGGGCTGGAAATCGCAAGAAACACATACGAACAACAAGGAAATCGAACGAAAAAGAAGTGGAGGAGGATGAGGAAGAGGAGGAGGAGGAGGAGGAAGAGGGGGAGGAGGTGTTGGGACGCACCAGACCGACCAGATGTGTCCGCCAGCCGCGAATGTTCAGACCGGGGGCTTGGCGGGGAAATCACCAGATCTGACAGCTGGAACCATCGGTGCCAGTGGGCTGGATGTCGCAGGGAACTGAAACATCAACCACGAATTCGAACGAATTCTTCAAGCTGGTTGCGTTCTCGTTCTGACTATGGGTTTGGCACGGAAGCCGCAAGATTTGAGGGCTGGCCCCCTTGGGAGACCGGAGTACGTAGCCTGCCAGCGCGGCGTGGCAATGGGGCTCGCGAGAGAACCATCCATCGCCCGAAACGGGCTTTCTTTTTGCTGCTAGAGATATGGGTCTGACCGGGCCCGTGGAGGAATTACTTGTGGCCCCCCTTGGGGGGCCCAGACGCAGCGCTTGCAAGAACGCATCGATAATGAGGCTCTGGAAAACGACCTGTGCACTCCGACTCCCCGACACGGGCGTCGCGCGCGAGATATCGAATTAATCCCACCAGCCCTCTGGGCGTCGGTGGTTTAGGGCGTTTCCTCTTCCACCCCTCCCCCTTCCCTTCGGGGAGGGGTTTACCCCTCCCCCTACCCCCTCCCCACTGACCTGGACAGGAGGGGCGGGGAGCGGTCAGAGCGTCCAAAACAGCCTCGGCGAGGAAGCCAAAATCATTGATGTTAGCAGGGTTTTGGCCCCATGTTGGCCTCCTGGGGGGGCAGCGCGAATTAAAGCTCAGTTTTTCTTTAATGGATCTCGTCCAAGATGGCACAAAGAAGCGCCCAGGAGGCCCCAAGAGGTCCCAAAATGGCCCCAAGATGGCCCCAAGAGGCCCCCAAGAGGCCCCCAGAAGGCCCCCAAGAAGACCTTCAAAGGCCCCAAGAGGCCCCCCCCCGAGGCACCCAAGACCCCGAAGAGCCCCCCAGGATCGCCAAGAGACCCCCAAGACGTCCCAAGAGGCCCCCAAGAATCGCCCAAGAGATACTCCAAGAGGCTCCTAAAGGCATCCAAAAGACCTCTGGCCCTTGTGCTTGCCCTCTTCCTCCTCCTCCTCCTGTTCCTCCTTCCTGCTCCTATTGCTTCTCTTCCTCCTCCTCCTCCTCCTCCTCCTCCGCCTCCTCCTCATCTTATTCGTCCTCCGTCTTCCCACTCCCTCATCCATCCATCCATCCACCTCCTCCTTCTCCTCCTCACTCTTTTGCACGGTTCGGCCGTCCTCCTCTTTGCTGCCGCACTTCCCTGATCACCTCAACTCGCCTGGACATCGTTTCGGGATGGGCTGGTGGGGATAAGCGAAGCGTCTAAAATTTGGATCAGACCAGGCCGTCGATCACCTGTTTGACCAACCCCTGTGGGAAGCCCAAGTGCGATGCCTGCTAGCGCGCGGTGGTCACGGGACTCTGTAGAAAGACCCGTGCACCTGCCAGAACGGGCGTCCCATCCGAAGGGGCCCACGAATGCGCGTTTCAACGGTCTCGCGGAACACTCGCGCCCCCCCCCCCCCCCCCCGGGGGGGCTCGAGCAAGATGCCTGCTGACAGGCGGTGGTCGTGAAGCTCGGCTCGTCTGCCTCCCAAGTGCGTGTTCCCCCCGGTCTCCTAACCGATCTCACTAGGAATGCCAAGGCGCCGAACTTGCCAGCATTCGGTAATGATCAGGTTCCGAAGAGCGACACTTCTGCCTCTCCAAACGAAGGTTTTCACTGATATGTCCAACTAAATTGGGCGCGAGCGATCCCGTGGAACGTGTCCCAGGTCGACCTCCCCTGAGAAAGCCAAAGTGCAATGTTGGTTAGTGCGCGGTGGGCGCGACTGCGTATGAATGGATGAGAATCGGAACGCCATGAAGGAACTTGGCTGGCGATGAATGAGCAGTGGGCTGAACCGTGGAAAGCAATTGTGCTACCCTTCTTTGGGGGCCCGGGCTCGAAGCATGATGGCTGGTATGTATGCGTGATGATGCACTGGTAAGTGAGGGTGCGGCTGAGAATTTGAGTGCGAGAATGGGACTCTGGTGACGAGGCTTGCACCACATGCGCCGATCCCTCGGACCTAGCTAGCGGTTGCCGATCAGTTCGGGGCGTCGGAATATCACGGCGCAGCGGGGAGACGCGGGTGGGGGAGAGGGGGGGGGGGGGGGAGCCTAATGACCAGGCGGAGAAGCAGCAGGAGAAAGATGGAATAGGTGAGGGCGGGGATGAAGAGAACGGAGGTTTCAAGGTTCGCCTATGGGGTTCTTCGGGGCCTGGAGATGTCAGCGGGCTTCTTGGGGACTTTTCGAAGCCTCCACACGAATGCCCGGGGAATTCTTAGGGCCTCTTGGAGCCTTCTCGGAGGCATCTTGGGATCCTGGGCCCATCTCGCGAGACGTCTCCCAAGGGCCCTTCGACTCGTCTTGGGCCCCATCTGTGGGTTTTGCTGGAGGGGGGGGGGGGGGGGGGGGGGGGGGGGTATGTCGTGCTGCGTTAAAGGCCTCTTTGGTCGTCTTGGGGCGTCCTCGGGCCGTTGAAGGGTTCTCTCGGGCGGTCTTGGGCTGGTCTGCGGAGTCGGGCCGCTTTGGGCGCTGAGAAGCCCGAAACTCCGAGAATGCGACCGAGATTCGAACGCTTCAAGAGAATCAAATATGCGTGCTTCGCACTGCCCACTTGCGGTCATAAGAGGGGCTCGTCGAACGACTGGAGCATTCTGGTGTCTCGAGGCCATCTTGGGCAGTCTTCAAGTCATCTTGGGCCGTCTCGGGGACCTGTTGAGCCGTCCCGGAGCCCTCAGTCACCTTGAGCGACAGCTAGGGCAATTTTGACGCCGCCGAAGATTTTCTCGGGCAGATGAGCCCGCCCAGCCCCCCGAGGCATCGGCGAGTCTCGAGCGCGAGATGGCGCGTGCGAGTTAGAGCGCAAACGAGCCTGAGTGAGCACGTGAATGAAATTTGCAGCATGTGACGGCGAGTACGGCTGTGAAAGCAGGATTCACGAGCCGGGCCCGCCTGCTGCTCAGCGCCCGCCTGCCCCGAATGGGGGGAAGTGTCTTGAAAGGGCCTCCCTGGGCGCTTCTGGGAGTCATATTTTCCACGCTTCGCATCGCAGAGACGCGCAACCAATGGCCGCTTCGATCTGCGCGCGACAGCGTTGTCGCATTGACGGCCATTGAGATTTCATTGAAATCCTATGAAATCATGCGTTATGCTATCAAACAAAAGGAACATCCAAATGGTTTGGCGATGGATTTGCGCCGCTGTCAGACACAAAATCTGCAGCGTCCGCGGGCGCCCGGAGAGCCCCGCTCAAGGCCGTCGCGAACGGACCTCCGCCGTTCAGGACGGGGCACTCCTGTCCTGAACGGGGGGCAGCCCCCCCCCCCCCCCCCCCGCCCTGAACGGGGGCCCTGCCCAGGCGCGCCCCCGTTCAGGACAGGAGGGCGCTGTCCTGAACGGCGGGGGTCTGTTCAGGGCTGTCCTGGGCAGGGTTCTCGAGGCGCCGCTGGAATCTGGGTTTTGAAACCTTATCCCCAGGGCCTTGTTCTCTGCGAGTTCGGCCCTGAAGATGGCGCGCATCCAAATGATTTCCATTGCGTGGCCAGCCTGGTAGGACTAGATTCAGGAGCTACTCGCGCGCGCAAGTGGATAGCGTCAGTGCGAACATTCTCGCATCACCACCGTCATATTGCATTTCCGGCGCGTATACGAAATCAATGACTGGTGGTGCGTTTGTCCTGTCCGCTCGCGCATGGTAAATGTGAATTGAAAAAGAGCGGACGCACGCTTCAAAATTCCAATATTTCAAAACTTTCCATTGCGGGGTTCTTCTTGGCAGAGACGTGACTCCGCTTTCTTCCGTTCTCCCTCCCACCCCTTCCCGCTACTCTTCATCGGCATGTAGTGTCATGCCCAAGTCCAATTATCATACCGCGTGCGCATTCACACCTCGTTCCCCTCTGTACGTCGTCCTCGCTTGAAAAAGCGCCCCACTTATACCCGCGCTCTCTCTCGGACTTAAACTGCGTCAGACACGCGCTCGCCCACTCGCGCCCGCGCGCACGCCCGCAAAACTTCCACCCGCGATTGCCCTGCGCATCACTCTCGTTCGCACCGTCACTCTCATGCCCACACAGACACACCCAGTCCAGCCCATATTCGCATTCGGGTGCTCCACGAGCCGCTTTCAGTTCTAAGTAGGTAGGCCCTGTCAGGTGGGACATCGGTGGGTAGACGGATCTCTCGCTAGAGCCTCATGGTCGTCGAGTGCTGACAGGCTCCGCGCTCGGGCCCTCAGGGGCGGGGGGGGGGGGCGTTGTCCACGAGCCCGTTCGGGTCCGA